TCACTCATTTTCTGTATGGCCTTATTTCTTGTTAAAGGCACCGCTGGGTTTTGAAACGTTTGTACCTGAACCCCTGAATATTCTCCTACTGTAATGCACTCCAAAGAGGCTGAGTTAAAAAGATTGTTGAATTAGGCAAGTGAGCCATTTTGCCCAGTTTGGAAAATGACCAGTCAACTTGTACTTCCAGATTTTTCCTGTGTTTCTTGGGAAGACATATTTTACACGTAACATTGTTGGTCATTATGTGGGCATGAATCATCCTGGTGTACTCAAACACAGAACAGGCAAAGACATTTTACTCTGATCTGCATTAGTCCAAACAATCACATGAGATCTTCGTGAATACTATCACTATCACTATAGTATCACTATAATGTGATACTACCCAGTTTTGACTTGCTTTTCTCCTGATATAAAACTACCAAAAAATGGAGTTTTGATATTGTTGGGTAACCTTTCAGTACTTCATAAGAACAATGTATTAAAAGTACTTATTAAAAAGTTCAATTAATTTATTGCCGGGGCTATGGTGTGGTGAGGCTTGGCACAAGGTACAGGAAACCAGAGCTGGCGTAGCTATGCGGTATCTAATACCTTGTAGTTTCCCTAAATTATAAGACAGAGGGGTGGGATGGGAAGCGCAGTTTGCTGCAAGCATAGCCCAAGAACAGTCAAGATTATAAAAAGAAAATCAGCTGCAGGGAAGAGCCTGAGGACGGGTCTTAAACCTCATCCCAGCTCCTCTGCAAACAATGAGGAAGGATCCACCCACCTCCCTGAACTTCGGATCTACTGAACGAGAAATACATCGCTGATGACATTTGCTACGCAAAACCAGAAACACCCCTCTAATTGCACAAAAACCAGAGCGGCCATTTGGATGGGTAAAGTGCATGCAAAACAGCTTGTGAAACCCTAACCTTCAGAGACAAGCACCTAAGACCACAGCTTATTCTTTCACTCCTGACTCCAGCAAATATATTTCTGAATAAATCTACAAAGGCAACCGTAATTAAAGAAAAGAGGTAAATGTTAATCTCTGTTTTTCTAGTGAAAAGAGAAGGAGGTCTTCACACCAGAGGATGGGAGTGTGTTTCTAAAACACAGATGCTGCCTTGGGTAGCCTAATCACAAGCAAATGTCCAAGGAACTCAAAACATCAGATATCCCAAACACTCTTCTTACCCTTCTCCTTTCATGCTTTTATAAATTATTGGTTTATTTTGTAAATAAGCTATTGTCCCTCCATACGGCACTTTGCGGGCTTATTCCTGAAGTTACAGGGGAAGGGTTGCTCTCCCCTCTACGAAATAGAAAAGCTGATGTAAATTCATCTCCGATGGGAAGTATTTCCTGCAGGAAGTTGCTTGGAAAAAATTTGTCCTATAGTAGATGATTTTTCTATCAAGTTCATTTCCTAGGAAATGTATGTCATAAGGCTAAATGACCAGACTGGATAACATGCAGTGTCCCTCCAATCTCCTGTGTTGAATCCATTGGGATCCCCAGTGCATTTTAATGGGTCACATTCCACTTCGTTACACAGTCTGCAGGTCCTGAGCAGCAGGGAAGCAGGTCTCTACTTCTCCTAAACTATTTCATGTTCTCATTCCTGTTGGGGAAAAGCTCCTAATGAGCACCAAATTGCTTTCCAGCTGAAATGGGGCATGATGTGAAAGAGAAATGCCTATCAACGACATCTGGTCGTCTGAATCACAAGTGAGTTTTTCTGTTTCCTGGTTAGATATATGGTAACTTTAAAGCAGGAGAACAATATGTGTGGGGCGGTTGTTTAAAACATGGGGGTGTACCAGGAAATATTTTCCAAACTTGTTTCATGTAGAGGTTTACAAAGCACTGAAGACAATCACCTATTAAAACAAACAAGGAAATATAAAATCTGTAGTGCTGTGGAAGAGGTGCTCTATTTTTTTACTGTTCTGAGATACTCAATACTAAATAGGTACCTTTTAATTTTAAATATTTGGCAACTTTATACTTTAAAAAGTAATTTCCAATACATCATAATCAGAGGTAGTGGATAATGTAATGATTACATTTTGTAAATGAAAATTCTATCAAAGGATAAAAAATGTTTTTAAAATATGAAGTTCTTGAGCTCCTCATAGCTGGAAGCAAAAAGTTTTTATCATTCTTTGAGTTGGAACTTCAGACTTGCATGTTTTAATTTGAAATACTAACTAGGAAGAGATTATATATTTGAAATTTTAGCATCTCCTTTCAATAAAAGAACATTTATCTTATATTTGAGGTTTATACAGATTCTCTAGGGCTTGCAATAAAACAAATAATGGGTTCCTACTTTTGATGTGGAAGATCAGTATTGATGTATAGAATCATAGAATCATAGAATCACAGAATCGCACAGAATCACAAAATGCTAAAGGTCAGAAGGGATGTTGGAAAATCATCTAGTCCAGCCTCCCTGTCAGAGCAGAATCACCCACAGCAGGTCACACAGGAACACGTCCAGGTGGGTTTGAAAGTCTCCAGAGAAGGAGACTCCACACCCTCTCTGGGCAGCCTGTGACAGAGAGGAAACTTGTGCACCCGCCAACAGAGGTTTTTTAATCTTTGTGCACAATCTGCTGCAGGATACAGACGACAGGAGGGCACAGCTCTTGATGGTGACGGATATTTATGTCTGGTCCTTGAGTACCAAAACATTACATATAGAAACATGTATGCCTTCACTTGCATGAATTATGGTTGAAATATTTCTGAAATTATAATACTCCCCAGAAACTTCCAGCAGAATCACAGAAGAGTTATGTACTAGCTACACAAGTCTTACTGGCATTTAACTTCTGTATGGACAAGCAATGCTGATAAGAGGCCAGTCAACCATGGAAGCATAGCCAGTAAAAGAAAAAAAAACCACAACAAACCACCTAAAGCTCAAAGATTTAAGAGTGCATGAAATTGTATGCAAAGCCAAAGAGCATTAAATTTAAGCAACGCAAAAAATTCACATAGATTGAGAAAAGCAAGTATTTCTGGTATTACTTCACTTTCTGGATGGATCTAAACAAAATCCTAACTTTGGAGTCATTCATTAGTGCATCTCTAGTTGCAGTCATGACTTAAATATTAATCTATGCATGCTTTTATACCTGTGTTTTCCACACCACCTGCTAGCATACCGGATCACTAATGCATTAAATCCCTCACAGTCCTTCTGGACCTTACATTTTACACAACTGGTTTTCAATACCCTGTTTTATTTCTTGACCGTGTTGCATGAATTGGTGTCTTGAAACTCACAACATTAATTAAAACAACAAAAATTTGAGTTACATAAAGCAGACTAATATAAAGTCTTTGCCAGCAGTTACACAGAAGGGTCAGTGTTCTTGCCAAGAAGGATAATTTCCACAGAGTATTCATATCCCTCTTCTCTCAATATGCAATGGCAATAAAGTAATTTTATTTTATAGCAAATATCCATGCATATTACAGTGTCACCATTTTACTTGTGCCATAAAATCTCAATTGTAATGAATTTCTCTTTTCAAAAATTTGTATCTGAGATAAATTTATGTAACAGAAACTCAGATCAGAGTCTAGTAATAATTCTCTATAGAGAGACAATAAGGAAGGATATATAAAAACGTGTATGTATATATCTACCTGTACGTACACAAGCAACACCACACAATTATGCTTTAGATTGGTGTGGTAAGTTTCACTATAAGGCTGCCTCAGTTACAGCTGTAGTCCTAAAACTCCCACAGGGTTTACCTGCACTCTGAGATTTTGCAGGGGGAGAGGAAGGGGAGAGAATGTGCTTTGGAACTACTGACAGTCCTGCAGACCTGTGGCACTCTCCCCACCAAAAAAAAAAAAAAGTGGTTTGATGTGTATGCTGAAGACATTTACTAGAGCAACTCTATTCATCTAACTTCACAGAAAAAAAAAATCATAACTAATTTGATATGCTAATACAGAATAATTAAATGAAAATATATACTGAATAATCAAATTTATTACAAAGACAATAAGCTAATTTTTTTAATTTAAAAAAAATGTTTGATATGTACATTTTCAAATAGTAGGTTGCTGCTTAAGGAAAGTCTCACCTTTTGAATTCAAACCGAAAACAAATCTGTTTTGTGAAAATATACCTTTTAAATTAGCTTTTATTTGCTAAGGGACAAAGATTATTAGTACTGGAAAATAATTCATAGTGTGACAGAAATTTCTGTTACGAAAATGATAGAGGAATTTACACATCATAGATTTATGTGTATATATATGTATATATATATATATAAAATTCCTATTAATTTCTCTGCTTTCAGCCATGAAAGGCATCTTCCCATCCATGACATACTACCCTCTATTCTGTAAACAATTTTGTAATGTATAGCACCAAATTCAGTGCAATGTAGTACCAATTCGAGTGGAAGCTCTTACATTTGTAATTTGTAATTTGTAATTTGTAAGGGCTATTTGCATTTTTTATAAATAATAATCTAGTCTATATTTGATTTTTTTTCAATTAAAAGACCTTTGCTTTACCAGCATGTATGCTGTATGAGAAAAGCTGAGTTCCAAGGCTCATCTCTCATAATGGAAAAAAAGTTCAATATTAGGGTTATATAATTTTAAATCTTTGTGGATTGTTTTTATTAGAGTTAACAGAGAAAATTGAAATACTCGATGTTTTTGCCAAGGCTGCAGATATTTCAGTTTTACTGGTATAATTATCTCAGTAGCACATTACATAAAAGCAAGAAATTTGCTTTCGCGATGTATTAGCTATGAAATTAAATCTATGCAATTACACTGCTATTGTTTCAAAACAATGCACCCCTCACTCTAATACGCAATCCCTATGTTGATCTGACAAATAAACAGAACACATAATTAACGCTTCCACCATACCACATTTTTTCTGGATGTTGTTCAGCTGGTGAAGCCAAAATGCCCAACATCTTGTGAGTGGTGCAGACGTCCCCCAGCTCAGCTCTTACCTGCAGGCTGTTGAAGATGATGAAGAAGACCAGCATCCAGAGGTGCCGGTAAGCCATGTGCAGTCCTCCCCACAGCCAGGTGACAGAGATCAGGGCAAAGAGGTACAGGACCAAGGGGATCTCTGAAAAACAGAAACACAGCATTTCAGACAGTGTTGAAACAAACTCCACTTTTTAAGGCATTACCCATGCAGGACCCGGTTTCGCCATCTATGGAGTTCATTCTCCAGTGACGGGCAGCCCTTCTCCTGTCCCAGCTGAGTGGGGGTCCCATGGCTTTTAGGATCCCCCCCTCCTACCCCTGATGTCCAGGAGATCAGCAGAAGGTCACAGGCAGCTGGAGGGGGTGAGAGGGTGACAGCCCAGCTCACAGACCAGGCATGGATGTTGGTGGGAAGACCCCTGAGTCAAGGAGCCCTCCCAGAAAACCCAGACTTTGCACAAGTTAACTTCATTCACCTTCAAAAACATGCACAGAATCCACCTGTGAGGACACAGACACATACAGCTGAATTTTACATTCCCTACTGTATTCATAACATAAAAGATGTAAGGAACGCTGGCAGGAAGATGCCTGTATGGATGAAGTTTGCAAAAAAAAGAAAGCAGAGGTGAGCTCTCACCCCCATTGGCTCCCATTGCTGGGATCCCCCACCGGATCCCCCACAACGACCGTACTTGCAGCAGGCTTCAAAGTCCGTGTTTGCCCAAGTTCTGCACACCTGAGGGGCAAAGGTGCTCAGCCAGGCCTTGCCCCTCTCTGCAAAGAGGCCCAGCAACTAGCGGAGACGTGCTTTTGACAGGCGGCATCATTCTAGATTGAGCAGTTTGGGAGCATCTCAGGCATTTTGTTTGACACCATGCAAAAACTAAGTGCCTTGTTTGGCAACAGTCAAAGTCAAGACCACCTTCCAGCAAGGCAGGCAGTAGTAGCTTCAGGATTATAGTTATTGCTCTGGCAGAAACGCACGGGTATATTTTTATAAACAAGGGAAAGACTTGAAGCAGAGTGCAATGTATTCCTAATGTTTCGCCTATTAAAGCCTAACATTGCTCAGTAAAACCTGGGGTGCAAACCTGGGCTGTTTTGCAGCCACTTTTTGATGTTGTGACATAACATTTAACAAAGATCTGTACTACTTTAGTGAATTATAATGAAATTCTGTGTTACATGTGATAATAAACATTAGGCTAGGGCAGTGGTAACATGTGACTAGAGGCAATAAAGCCAAAAGTATTAACATAAACTTAGTTCTTAAGATCAGTTAACAATGCCTTGTTTTTTCTGTGGGGAAAAAACCCAACAAGCCAAACCTACTTATTTTTACCGAAAAATAAAAAAGGATATTATCGTATTAAGAAAAGCTCAGTTCTAATCATCATTCAAGGTACTCCCATTCTTCCACTTATCTCTGAGGATGTGATATAAATCCTCTCCAGTTTTTCCATTTGTAAATAGTGCTATTTCTTTGCATGCAGGATAGTGAAGTTGCTCACAACGGAGGGAAGGATGTGGTGCTGTGAGCCCAAGGCAGGTAGAGACCTCTTCTAGGACCTCAGAAGGCACTGTGGGTGGGTGTTGTTGCCTTAGAATGGCATTAGATTCATGCATTTCATGTCACAGGAAATCTAAAGGATCTGTACATCACCAGTACATACAACAAAGGATCTGAGGAAGAGCCACTCCTTATGAAGAGAAAGCTGGAGGCCAGGCTGGATAACCTTGGTTGTCTCAGATGACAGAGGATGCCCATTAAGCACCTGAAGTCTCACGTCGAGGTGAAGCCTGGCCAAAATCCACTAAAAGTTTGAGACTTCCCAAAGGTCCCTGATCCAGAACACAGCACCAACAATACACACGCATTTTTCAGAGCAGCATCATGGGAAGAAGATTAAGGGTATGTAGCTCTATTTTTCTGGAAGGAACTCGGTCTTGTTAGATGAATAGAATGGAAACACAATGTATTTCTCATGCGGGCACTCCAGAGTCACTAGTGCCCCTTGCACACAAAGCACACATCTCAAAGTCCCTTGGGCAAAATGGAGAATTTCCTTGTGGCTTCTATGGATGTTGAAGCAAGGTTTTCTTTAACAGATGCTAATATACACGAAAGACATCACAACACTTATACAATAATAGAGCGAGTGAGTGGCTGGTGGGGCCGAGCTGCTGGCTGAGGTTAAAGCACAACAGCATTGTAACGAGAAAAAAATTCTAAAGATATTTGCTTTTTGCCACGTGCATGGTACAGTTTACTATTCTGCTTTTATCTTTGTCAGTAACAATTGCATCATTATCAGTATTGTAAAACGTTAACGCAGAGTTGAAACTCTGGTGGTATTTCAGGTCTCAGCTGCTTGAATTCTCTTCACTCTTTTTGTTCCAGTAAGTTGTTGTGTTTTGGTCAAACAAAAGCTCAATAACCAGAACAGACATATCAGAAAATCAGCAACAATTTCTTTTAAGTTTGTCAAAAATAGCACTGCATAAAGGAAAAGGATGCCAATAACAGGCTTGGAATGAAATAAAATAGACAGCCTAGTTATCTCGAGTTTCCTTCATATGGAATGAAAACCAACAAGACCTTCCCAAACAAATTCCAAGAGTATTTCTGGGCAGATGAACCTTCACTGACACAAAATTTACTCTAAATACATGTGCAAGTAGCTGCCTTTAGATTACTTCAGTAAACCTTAGACTGCCATGGAGTAGTCAACCCAGCATTAGCGTGATGTAACTGAGACATTGTCAAGCAGCTCTATTGGGTATTACATATTCAAACCATGCTGGTCCACATTTTTTTACACCATTACTACATCATTTTTAGTACTAGGAATGAAGAAAGATTTTATTTAAGCAATAGTCAGTCCACTCACACCTTAAATATATATATGTATGTATGCATATATGACCATCCTGACTGTTCATGCCTCTGTTTGAAACATTTCCCCTTTTTCCTAACTGTAAGCTTAAGAAACACTGACAGAGTTGATGACTCAGTACAGATAAATGTTGTATTTTTTTAAAGTTTGAAAGCTTACCATAGTCCAGCTTGGTATTTGACGAAGTCTAATTACCTACATTCAATTTACCAAACAACGTAGTGTGCCCCCTGTTTCTCACTTCTCTCCTATTGCTGAGAAAAGATTATTTTACTTATTATCTTATCTATAAAATTTATTTTTCTGCAATGCTTACTGTTTGGAGGGCTGTGGCATATTGTAATCAGTTTTTATTGCAATCAGTTTCACTATATTAGGTGAGCCCTTAGTGTAAACACAAAATTTTGCCCAGTTGTTTACACAAAAAAGATGCTGGTGAGAATCTAAGAGAGGGGTTGCTGTATTTTCATGGCAAGTTTAGATTACACTACAAAAATCATGAAGCAGGAAAAGTATTCATGTTCTGGAAAAATTGATTTACATCAATGGGAACCTAAAAGGAGCTGTACTGGGCATGAATAAAAGTTTATCTAGCATCGCCTCTAACACGGACCAAAAAGCAGGCCAGATGTGATACTTCTCCCAGCAATTCTCCATTTACAGCTTGAGCTACCCAAACCAGAAACAGTTTCTTTCTATTTAGTAACATTCAGTGGACTTCTCTTTCACAAACTCCTCTTGAACTAATAACAATGAACTTTGATAATTCAGAGAATCTAGTGGCAAGGAATGACATGGCAAGGAATCTTAGGAATAGCCTAAGATTCAGATAATAAAATGCCAGATTGCCCAGCTGATACAGCTGTCAGCATCGTGTTTGTTATTTGGTTTCCTTACTGCATAAGCAAGAACGAGAAATAGAAGGAAATATAAATCCCAGAACATTTCATAACAGCTATGCTTTCACTTGGAATGGTTTTAAATCTGTAGTGAAATACACACATACAATGTCATATTTCTGAAATAAATCTCACAAAGAAAATAAAGACTATGGTGATAGTTTTGTTCCATCTTCTGCTGTGCTAAAAAACATCTATACTGATCTACACAGAGAAATAAATGATGAGACTCATGTGTCTACACCTATTGCAACCTAAGCAGGTAGCAGCAGCTTACTGAGGTCCATAAAGAAGCTTGCCACCACAGGACTGTGGTCCAGTCAGCCTCTGCATGACCTCTTCAGAAATGAGAACATCTATGTGCCCGAAAGGACGATAAAAATGGTGAGAAATGCAATATTTTACAACACAAGATGAGACTGCCTAAACTTTATTCACAGCTGGAGCCTGGAATAGATTCTATCAGTTGGATAGTGCTAGTTCAGGCACTGCAGAGACAGAATAATAAAAAAAAAGAGCAAAGGAGAAATGATTTTCCAGTGTTAAAAGCATCCTGTACACTAACTTCTTTCAAATGCAAGATACACCTATTTCTAAAATCATGGGAAGGAGATATCTGCCAACCTCTGCCCCTGCACCTGACAGCAGCAAGAGCCATGGCAGCCTCTTGGTAGCCCAAGACTGGGAGGATGAGGATGAACAAAAATGGAAGCAGCTGTGAAGGGGAACAAGAGGATGATGAGGAACCTTGTAGCATTCCTCATCACGATCCACTGTCACACTTTTGATGGTTCACCTAACGACAAGTTGAAGATTGAGGTGGACTCATATATGTCATTGTAATTTCATCTAATGATGAGGTTCACACAGCTAACCTCTCTTATCCATCTGTGGTGCCTATTGAGTAGGAAAGAATAATTTGATGGTGCCTGTCCCAACCTATTTCACCAGTGATGGTGATTTAGTGGTGCAACTGGCATTGCTAGGATAATGGTTGGATTCCATGATCTCAAGGGTCTTTTCCAACCCACACAATTCTATGGTTCCATGAAATCCTCCCGCAAAATTTCAATAAACAACTGTCCACAGAGCATAGTAAAATGTTTTTTAAAAATGCGTTCTTGCAGTGTATTTTATACTTTACAGATAGGAAAAACAATGGGTGAGCATTTGGGAAGAGAGAAAATCTACTTTGTGAATGAACCAAAAACTCACTTGAACAAAGGCATCAAAACAGGCCATGAGCCCTATGAAAAAATGGTCCGTTCGTTGCTCTAGACAAATCTGTAGCACCACCAGGAAAGTAACTGAAATGAGTTGGAAAAACAACAACACACTGG